TTGTTTTTTTTTTTTAAAGATTTTATTTATTTGACAGAGAGAGACACAGCGAGAGAGGGGAACACAAGCAGGGGGAGTGGGAGAGGGAGAAGCAGGCTCCCGGCCGAGCAGGGAGCCCGATGCGGGGCTCGATCCCAGGACCCTGGAATCATGACCTGAGCCGAAGGCAGACGCTTAACGAGTGAGCCACCCAGGCGCCCCGAGGGAGTCACTGGTTTTAAAAGTATGTAGCATTATCTTTCATATCTATATCTGCCCATGGTTGACATCAGTGTAGATTATCTTATTTTATGGAGACGATAGCTGCTTCTGGAATGGTCTCAAGGCAGACAATTCTGATCAAACATGGATTGTTAAACAATGATTTAATTAGACTTTTTCTATACCTAAGTTCCTCTCATTAAATGTTTCATCAAATTTTTCATTGACCAGTTTCACAACCAACCTCATTGACTTTTTAAATTTCTTTTCCTTTTTTAAAAAAATTAATAAAAGGGGTCACCTGGGTGGCTCAGTTGGTTAAGCATCCAACCCTTGGTTTCGGCTCAGGTCATGATCTCAGGGTGGTGAGATCCAGCCCCGTGTCGGGCTCTGCACTGAGCATGGTGTCCGCTTGAGGATTCTTTCCCCCTCCTTCTCCCTCACCTTCCGCTCTTCTCCCCACTGGCATGCGCATGTTCTCTCTCTCTCTCAAATAAATAAACAAAATCTTTTTAAAATTTTTAAAAGATTAAATATTAATTAAAAAACATTAAAAAATTAATAGGCTTTGTTTTGTTAGAGCAGTTTTAGGTTTGCTGATGATTGAACAGATGGTATAGAAAGTTTCTATATACCCCTCTCTCCCTGGCTCACAGTTTCTCCTGTATTAAGATCTTGCATTAGCGTGATACATTTGTCACAATGGAGAACTGATATTGATACATTATTATTAACAAATTTACATTGGGGTTCAGCATTGTATTGTATAGTCCTATGGGTTTTGCCAAATGTATAATGTTGTGTATCCTCCTGTGACACAATAAGAAATATAAATTTGGTGTTTTTTTCCTAGTTCCTGACACACAGCTTCTAAAACCTTTATAATTTCCTGAGTGATGGGGTGCTAGGGGCATCTTTTTTTCTAATACTTAGTGTTTGACCCTCAATTCCTGACATGACACTCCTAAAGCCTTTGTGATTTCCTGTGTGATGGGGATGATAGGAGCATCGTACACAGAGCTCCTAGTCCCCTTGGAATTTCCTGGGTGAGAAGAACATTTTTTGCTCTAATGAGATGACTCTGGGTGGGCTCCTGGATAGTTTCTGGATGGGGCCTGGTCACCAGAAAGATCCAAGTCATGATTAGAAACTTGGAACTTCCAGCCCCACCCTCCATCTACTGGGGAGGGGAGAGGGGCTGGAGACTGAATGAATAATTGATCTTGCCTACATGATGAAGTCTCCATAAAAATCCCTAAACTAAGGGGTTCGGAGAGCTTCCAGGTTGGTGAGCACATCCATATACTGGGAAGGTGGCACACCCCAATTCCACAGGGACAGAAGCTCCTGCATTCAGGA